AATAGGTTGACCCCTCTTCTTTGTGGCAGCCCCTGAGATAGTGGAACACTGCTGTCATGACACTCCTTGTCCTTTTAGGAATGACACACTGGATGCTAACAGCATGTTAAAATAATTTTATAAAAGTATTAGCAAAGAATAAAAAACAGCAATAGTCTCCTATTCATAATAAAGATGGGACCATGGTTTGAGGAGATATTCCTCCATTTTCTCCTATTTTTTATAAAACAAACTCCCAATATAGGAAGTCTGTTTTTAATACCCACACATCATCATTTCTGCAATCTTCTATTAATTTTAAGATGGATTTCAAGAGCCTGTGACAGAAGTCAGCTGCATTCCCCAATAATGTGATATGTTACAGCAAAACAAATCCTTCATTATATGAGAGAGAGAGTTTTGTGCTAACTTAAAATGAACAATAGCTGAAAATTTTAGAAATTCATTATAAGTCCAATTAACATTGGTAGAAAAATATTCTTTATTGCTAAATGAGAGAATGTAATCTCATACAAATGATATTTTTATTTATAGGTAGAATGACCATAGAACATAATTTGAGTTTATTACCAGTGAAGAAAAAAAATCAGTCCAATCCGTACAGGATTAAAATGAGCAAGTGCATTCAATGTGTCTAAATAAACTGTAAAATGTCTTCTCAAAGACATTATTATTCAAAATTGAAATCCAAATGATGACATTAATCAAAAAACTCTGTTCAAAACTTTTGAAGCCCTATCTGTTCAGTCTTACATTTTTCCCACATTGAGTTGTCAGATATCTATGAAAAATACACAAGCATGGTATGAGTATAATAGTATCTATTGCTCATGTTTTCTAATTTTTAGAGTCATAGTTATTTTTGAAGCTCAAATTATGTAACTATCAGAATTAATATTAACCACTTTATCTGTCATAAATTTATTTCATCTCTTGTCAAAGTAGTCATATTAGCCCTCATTTTGTCTGCTGATTTGCTGTCATAGTTTCTAAAGACAAACTTTACAAATCCTGTCTATTATTATTATTTTTGCCAGATTTTATATATGTGTGTAGATTATAGTGGTTCGTTGGAGAATTTTTGGCTACTTCAGTTCATCTCATTTTATCCTCTTTTACTAAATAATGAAAAAAAATCTCAGTCAGGATTTGGCTTCAATATTTTGCAGCTTAGAATTAGTGCAGTCCTAATTGTTGCTTTTTTCTTGCAATAGATTACTAGAAAAATATATACATGAAGAAAATTAATGTTAAAAGAAATAGATATATTCATATCTCAACATTAATGATAGTCTTTCAGTAAATGGACAATGAATAGTAGAACAATATTTTATAAACAGGAGCAATTTTCTAATTTCTATCCTGCAATGGACATATCAACTTTCCTCTATAAAATTATAAACTCCTTGCCTACACACACACACAAGCGCGCACACACACAAAAGAGAGAGAGAGCTCTGCTTGCCAACTCACCCAAGGGAGTCAAATAGAAGATATTTTGACAATAGTTCGGATAAAAAGCTTATTAGATACTCCTGTCACATCCACTGCTAGCCAGCTGCTAGAGCTTGATCCAAAACATGGATGACTCCACAATGATTATTACTGTTGGAGGACAGACTGTCCAAGCTAGGAAGAGGAGTCTAGTAAGAAATTAGTCTGGAATCTCTACATAGGTATAAGAAGGCAAGGTCCATCCCCTCTTTGAATCCTGTTGAACCTTAATTAGTCTGGCTCAGCCAGTCTGAAGATTCCTGTGGTATAGGCATGAGCAATAACTAATTGAAATCATGTGTGGATCTGATTGTTTGCACCTAACAATTACAATGCTGATAAATGGCATGGTACCATCCACTCTGACAAGCTGCTATCTATATCTCTGGGATCTAGGGTCCGATAAATCTAAAGTAGAGTCACTATGATGATGTATTTGATCATTTCATCCCCAGAGAGCCATGAGGATTTCCCCAACTTCTCTTAAGCTTCATATATATATAAGACCTACATATATATATATATATGTGTGTGTGTGTGTGTGTGTGTGTGTGTGTTTGGACCTATAGTTTGTGGTCGTGCCTCATCATCTGTGTGGGTTTGGGTTTGCTTTTTGCATGGATGTGTGGTGGTGACATCCTGTGTGGTTTTCGTGAGTGTGGGTCTGGTGTCATTCTTTGTGTTAGGGACTCGTTTGCCAATAAGGGCGGGTTTCCAAATGGCTGGTAGGTGGGAGGTATCATCTTGTTTATTCATGCTGTGTGGGCGTTTTTCTATCTCGATGGCTTCTCTGATTATTCTGTTGTTAAAGTGTTCAGTTTTGGCTCCGAGTCTGCGGTCCAGCTCTGTGTTCATGGC